TCTTGGTTCCTTTCGCCAGACCGAAACCACATGAGACTTGTGACTATTCCCAAAAGCCTTCATTCAAATGTTGACTGCGGATCAAACCTGAGGACCATATGAATCAGAGGACGCCCCCTTTGGGTTGCGAAAGGATTGGGCCCCCCTTGAACTGATTTCCCAACGGAGATTCTGGATTCGGACGGACCAACCCTCCATTTTTACCAGCCCAGGAGAAGAAATGGATTGCACGCGTGTTGCGTGCTGCCTGGAAAGACGGTGCAACTCTAGGAAGACCTCCTGGCCCATTGTTGGGAAAAACACACCATATATACTTGGTGTGTGAAGGGTATACGGTGCATGCTGCAGGGTCAGGGGCTGACAATGCGCTTCTTTGGACCTGCCCAGGTGGACCAATACTGGCTAGAGCTGTCGGCCCCTCAGTCTTCCACATGGATCCTCACAGGCGGGTTGGCCAGCACTTGTCAGACGGCCCCCTTTGTAGGCAAAGAGGAACAAGTCGTAAATGGGCCGGCCTGGGAGGATAGATAGATTTATCATAGCCCGATAGGGGCATGTCAACTGGTGTCGGGCTTTCTGATTGAAGAACATAGCCAGGATACGCCCATGACCTCTGGCGCAAGTAGTATTCATTCACCGTGGATATGCAATTACACGAGAAAAAGAGAGAGAGAGAGTGAGAGAGAAAAGGAGGGAGAGAGGAGGGAACGAGAAGGAGGCAGAAAAGGAGGGAGATAAGGAGGGCGAAAATGAGAGAAATAAACAGAAGTACATTAACAAGCGAAAGACGGGAAAAATAGATAAGTAGAAGAAAGGAATAAGAAAGGAAATAACAAACGAAAGAAACAAATACATGAAGCGAGAAGGAAAAGGCGGACAAGGAAAACACAAAAGAGAACTCGACAAGTAATCAAACGCGCACGTGTGGTTTGCCCAGACCGTCCACTTAGGCCACACGTTTCGGCTGGCAATGAGGCCGTGGGAAGGGATTTAACTTGGCCTCAAGCCGCATCGCACGAGGTCTTCCCATGGAACATAGACAAGACACCCTGGAGCGCGCATGCTAAAACATTGGGTAGGATTCCGATCGGCGCGTGCTTTTTTTGTTTCTCTTTTTTTCGGGAGAACTGCCTGCGGGCAAACCACAATTAAAGAAGGGAATTAGAATGTAAAGGCAACACGAGAAAATACAAGATCAAGCACCATAGGACAAGAAAGAAACACAGACATAACAAGAACAGACAATAACATAACAGAAAGAAACAGCGCAAATAATTAAATCAAGAAAGAACGACAGACATAAAGAGAGAATTTAACGGCCAAAAATAAAGACACATGATAAATACAAAACTGATGATGAATGGCATGGCTAATGAAATAACACACAACACCAATAATCAACAACATAAATTGAGAACGAACCAACAAGTACAACACAGAAAGAGAGAGAGAGAGAGAGAGAGAGAGAGAGAGAGAGAGAGAGAGAGAGAGAGAGAGAGAGAGAGAGAGAGAGAGAGAGGGAGGGAGGGAGGGAGGGAGGGAGGGATAGAGAGAGCGAGAGAGAGAGAGAGCAAGAGCAAGAGACAGGGACAGAGACAGAGAGAGAGGGAGATGAACGTATCGAGAAGGGGCGGGAAAGAGAGGGGAGGAGGGGGAGGAGGGGGAGGAGCGGGAGGAGGGGGAGAGAAGAGGAGGGAAGAGGAGGGAAGAGGAGGGAAGAGGAGGGAAGAGGAGGGAAGAGGAGGGAAGAGAGGGAAGAGCAGGGAAGAGGAGGGAAGAGGAGGGAAGAGGAGGGAAGAGGAGGGAAGAGGAGGGAAGAGGAGGGAAGAGGGAAGAGGAGGGAAGAGGAGGGAAGAGGAGGGAAGAGGAGGGAAGAGGAGGGAAGAGGAGGGAAGAGGAGGGAAGAGGAGGGAAGAGGAGGGAAGATGAGGGGAGAGGAGGGGAGAGGAGGGGAGGCGAGGGCAGGCGAGGGCAGGCGTGGAGTGAGGAGCGAGAAAACACACTTGCTTGAGGTACTTTGCAGTGGCAACTTCGGTGGCTCTTTTTGCCCTTGGCTGAGTCTGCACTGGCTGTGGCCGCCAGGGACAAATGCAGGGTTACGCCAAGCGGCTTTTGAGCATGTCAAAGTGCTAACTACGTTGCTGAAACCAATTTCGCCCAGCCTAGTTGAGTGAACTGGGACCTGATCTCTACCTCGGGCCAACGAGGTAGCGCTGGTGTTTTGGGGGTGCGCCCTGATCGACCCTGCGCTGATGGCGCCGGTGGATGTCATCATCCCATCCAAATATCAGCGGCGGCCTCAGTTGCGCAAACATGTGTTGAAATTCAATTTGGTTGTTTTTCTGTTGGTTCCCTTTAGACCAATTTCAAAGCGGATTCCTCAAAAGAACGGCCAATTGGAAAAGCCAACTCTATCTGATTGTGAGGGTCCCTGGTGGCAAACTGGGTGAGCGTATTGTAGCGTCGGGCCTGACAACATTGCTGGCCGCTGCGCAGAGTTTGATCGGCGATGCATTTTGATGCTTACTTTCAGGCAGATTCTGAGTCCGGCGCTTTATCTCAACGATAGAATTCGTCTACTAAGCCGGGAAGATGTCCATTTTGAACATCTCTGGGGCTCCCTCTAATGAAGCCATGATCAACCGCGAATAAACGTCCAGGCCGACACCTGGCCCCCGCCCGGGAGTTCCTGTACAGGTTCATACGGGTTCACGCATTCTTAGCCTTGGGTTTCCACCCAGATTAGATGCTTGAATCTGTGCTGTCCAGCGGCCCATTCGCGGCCCATTCGCCAGCCATTCGCGACAGGCTCACGGCTGAGTTCAAGCAGCATCTCATGTTCGGAGCTCCTTGGCCGAGGTTAGCGCAGCATAAGCCTCCAGAGGTTCTCCTTCAATCAGAAGCCCGGCGGTTCCTTCACCAGCTATCCTGGAAAGCCTGTAGGTCTTTTTGGTTTTTTTTCTGACGCTTCGTTTCGAGTCTCGAAGGCCTCTGCCCATGCGACCCCTCGACCCCTGAGGCGATGTTCGGGCCTACGGATCCAGATCCCAGCTGCAGTTGGCAGACGGGGTTCAGGCCGGCCAACGCTTGCTCTTGGATGCCAAAGGGCGCTTTTTTTGACCTCGTTTCCCAACTTGGGTTTTCAGTGCATGATGGCGAATATTGACCATTGCTCACATGGTATAGTCCATGGTTTGGGGCACCCCCTTTTGGTTGGTTTGAAAGGCAAACCAAAAAGAAGCCAGCCATTCTGGAAATCCCCCAAACCTTGAGACAAGCCCATGCAAACGAGGCTCTTCATGCAGTATGTCCATACCTTGTGCCCCATGTTTCTGGCCCGGACCTCGGTTAGAAGCCTCCCGCGAACCTCGTTTTTCTCCTCTACTTGTCAATTCGAAGTAAGCCCCTTTGTTTGTAGACCGAAAGCCGGTTTGGTCGAACAAACAGGGGTTGCTCAGAAATGTTTGGACAGATTTCGGCAGAGGGGCATGAGTGAGCTTCCTTCCGAGATGGGTTTCACTACCCCCAAACCACTACCCCCATAGGACAATGGGATATGCAACAATATAGCCATTTGGGGATAGAGCCCATGCGTTCCGTGGTCTTGGTTCCTCAGCCCCGCAGTAGAACACGCCGAGGTTGTTGACATGGCCTTAGCCGAGCATTCGCCGTTGGAAGCCAATGTAGAGATCAATGCGACCCTGGCGTTTGCTGTGAGTTGCCTGGCATTTGGTTGATTGCGCCCGATCTTAAAACAATTGCAAGAAAGAACTCTGAATGAATTCATGAAATCAACAAATCCCTTGTCTCAGGTCCAAGATTGGCTGAATTCCTAGAGATTGCCCTGTCTCTCGAAGAATCTTACCCTCTTGGGGTAGATTGCAGTCCTAGGGATTGGAAGGAAGTTCTTGGCTGCTGAACCCTTCAAGCAAGTGTCTGCTAGACCTGGTTAAAAGCCAGGTGTAAGAGGTGAACTTCACTGGGTTCTGCCGAGGCTGACTCTGAAGAAGTCCCTTCTGTATAAGAGGTGCTTGTTCATTCGGGCTGTTGGATGCTGTTTGAAGGGAAACAGCGGAAGCCGACCATGTTTAGCTCTCTCTTCTTTTTGGAAACACCCAGTTACCTGGCCAATATTTGCATTAACCAAACCTCGACCCAGGTGCAAATGAAATGTTCCAAGCAAGCTCATAATGCGTGTGTTTGCATGGGGCACCAGACGCGAAGGGTTTCTATTCAGACACCAGGTACTGTAGCTTGAAGTTCGAATTCGCAGGATTTTTTCGCATTTGACTCCTTTCGGGAAAACCGGGTGGGGGGAGGGGGGGGCGGAAATCCTTTTGGAAGTTCGGAGTGGGTTCAGGTTCATGTCCTTGCAACCCATCAAAGAGCTAAGCAGGCAGCAAAAGAGGGAAGCAGGGTTTGCCTTTGGCTTTCGCTTTTCTGGAAACACACACACACACACACCAAATATCGAGAATATATGCCCCCAATTACTCTAAATATCCACTATGTTAAGGGGAACATACTAACCCAAAACTAAAAAGGATGTATTTACCATGGAAAGCCAGGTCGTCACAATATACCCGAAAAGCAGCTTGTATTTGCAGTAGGTGTGCCTTTAAAAGGGGTTGAGGTTCGACTTCCGGGAACTCCAGAAGGGTTTTTCCCAGGGAGCCCAAGCAACGCCAAATGGGGTCTTCTGGGAATCTATAGACCGATAAGGACAGAAAACGGTCATTCAAAAGGCGGTCCCTCGTGCTCTCACACCCCACAAATGCTGCCCTTTCGTGGTGGGCAAAATTCGTGTTCTGGAGAAAACTTGTTTCGAGGGGCAGAGGAGCGGAACCCCTACATGTTTCGACCATCTTGGTGCGGGGACACGGTTGTGGAAGATTGGGTTGCACGGCGAGTCTGTATCATGCCAAGGAAATCCCGGTTTCAACCAAAGTATTTGGAATAGGAATCAACCCCAAATCACTATCACGGAAAGGGGCTGGGCCATTCTCCGCCACAGCAGAAACTGTGCCAACTTTGGATATCATTTTGACGGGTTCCCGTAATGAGCCATCCATTTGCCACCAAGGGCGTGTGTTTGAGGAGTTGCAGTGTGCATGTTCCACAAGGGGCATGGGGGATCTGTCCCTTCGAGGCTACATTTGTTGGAACCTCTTCTGCTGGTGGCTGTTGCGGGTACCGCCCTACCCGCTGCAAAAGCGCCTTTTTGCCCAGTGCTCAGGTCCGTATGCCACGCGTGTGGTAAGTCTCTACGGATGAACAGAAAAAACAAATTCATACAACATAGACTTGAATTCGTGAATACAGTTTTGGGAAACCAAAAGAGGATGTATACCCTTTGTTTGACCCTTGGTTTCAGGGAGGGTTTCTCCTCAGAGAAGATCATGACTGAAGCAAGTCGGTTTGACCTTGCTGGTGGCTCGGGAAACAAGTTGCCCCCCTCCCATGCTTGCGGCTTGTCACTGTGGCAAGGTTTTGGGCATGAGGGGATGGTTTCCTCTCTGTTACCATCCTTTCAGTAAATAATTTGTCATTGAGTGTCATAGAAGTGGGTGCAGGCGATTTCCACAACCCTGGTAAACTCCAAGCTCACTATGACATTATGACACAGCCAAGTGGGTAGCTCATGCTTCCTTGTTGGAATCGTCAGCAGGGCCGCCGGAAGCAAGGCAGCTTGACCTGGTTTTAGAAGTACTTGGTCCATTGAAGTGGTTGCATTTTGAGGCGTTCTCAAATTGGTTCGAAGTGGTTCCCTTGAACTCCACCCATTTAGATCATGTTTGTGTTTGGGGGTTGGAGCCCATCATTCAGATTTTGAAGATGTCTACGTGGAGCCCAGCATACAGGGAACGGACTTTCCCCCACGCTCAGGAGCTTGGCGTGCCGTGGGCGGTGTTTGCCTATGCAGCCCGGGCCAGAGCAAGTGAGTTGCAGTTCCTTTGGAGTTGGTACCCTGCATGGGGCCCCGATTGGTTTACAGGAAAACGAGGAAGCCAGGCCCCATCTTGGGGGAGCATCCATCGTTTTGGGGCACGTGCGCGATGTCAGGCGAATGCCAAGAAGTGAGGTCTCGCAGCTTTGAAGCCAACTCACCCGCCAACATCTGAATGGAACGTGTTTCACGTGACTGCTTTTTAGGCCTTTCTGAATCCTCCTGAATGTGACCTCACCATGTCTAGCCTGGGCACAAAGTCCGTGCATTGCAAAGCATGTCCTTTCCTGGCGCCAAGCCAGAAGAGAGATTCCATTCCCTGGCCATGACCTTCGAAGATCAGAGTTTGTTTTTTCAACCACAACGAGTAAGGGGTTGTCTTGGTATGAACTTTCGAGCTGCCCCCAACTGCACGTGATGCGCAAACTCAATCCACTTGTGTGCGCCCCTGGCCTTTGCAGGACTAGAACAGGCATGTAACGGGCATACACGAAAGGAAAGTAAGGGGCCCACAGCAATGGCACATCTCATCTTATCCACGCCCCACGTCTCGCGAGCTCTTGGGCAAATCAGGTCCTTTCAATCTTCGCCATGGCCTTGCACCTTGGCACAGAATGGCTTTCAATGGTTCCTTTTGGTGCTTGAAATTCCACAAGCCATGGTGGGTCGAAATCGGTTGGATGTTTGAATGTCCGTTCACAATCAGCGCTGGGTCAGGGGACCAGGAAGCCTCCTGTCCCACCTGGCAGGTAGCCTCTAAGAACCATAATTCGAGGACCCAGGGTCATACGAAGCTCTTATAGGGGCTCCCGATACCTCGGAATACATAAGAACTTCCCGAAGCAAAACCGGAAGTCGTGAAACCCCCCGCCAGGACAAGTTTAGGGCAAAAACAAGCTAGGGGAAGTGATTTTGGCCCCAAATCCTTCAGTCATTACCACGACCACAAGCAGTTGCGCAGTTTTAGAAGGCCATGTTCGTGGCTCCAATCCTATCATCCAGTGCAGCCGGGGTTGCAACCCCAAAGTTCCCGCTTGCCTCGTGGATTTCTGGCACAAGGTGCATCTATGTGCGTTGGGTCCGCTTGGCCTGGATCTGAGAGAGCCAAACGGGTTGGGCAGAGGGTTGAACGAAGCTGAAAGGAAACGGGAAAGCCCAGTTTTCGATGTCTAAGCGATTGGGATGGCGTTTCAAGGTAGACCGAAATGCATTCTTGCAATTGTGTGGAGGGTTTTTTTGGAGTTCGACTTAGAATCCCCAGCCAACAAACCTGAACTGGGAGAGGCGAGAGCGCGGGCACGCTTATCAAGACCTTGGAGTTCCGCCTCTAATCCGGTCCCCGCCAAATGGAAATTCCCTCCTGGCAGAGCAAGACTTCTTTGATCAGGGATTTCCGCTACGGTCCTCGTCCGAATGGAGACCCCCTTTGCTGGGCAAGAAAACCGTCAGAATCGTAATTTGAAGAGTACGGAAATAAATGGAATCGTTCAAGGCACTTGTTTGGAGTTGATCAATCACGTTCAAAAGGCAAAATTAGAGTGGCTAGTTGAAACATGAATGTACAATTTAAAGTCAAATCAAAGCCATTGAGGGGGCCGTTGGAGAGCCCCCTAACCCGACTGGAGTTGGGGTCGGCAGGAAATCAGGGTAATTTAGCAGGGGTCTGGACAAACTAATATGTATCTCCAGGATAATTTGTAGGATTCCCAAAAGACCGAACCAGGTCGCGGGCTGGTTAGGCGCCTTGGCCATGGTGCTGCTGGTGTGCTGGGCCAGCGTGGGTCTGACGCCGTGGCGAGGCGCGGCCACGGCTTGACATGCTCATGTTTGGTGTTGTTGTTTTGTTGGGCGCGTCGTCTCCTCCAAAACCATTTGATTTTTCAGTATAGACTAAGCGCATGAAACAACATCGGACAATGTTATTTTTTCTGGATGTGGGTCAAGTTGGCCTCAGGTTTGTTTCACTTTGTTGCTTCTTTGCCTGGAGGGCATGTTCTTGTTTGGTTTCTTTGGGGGGGAGGTTCGGCATGATGGTCTCGTCTCCGCACACTGGTTAAACCTACTCCCTTTTGGAGGCAAGCTCGCGGAGTTCCAGGGGCTCGCGCGGGCGCCAAGTCGGAGTCGAGCGAAAGCTTCCCTGAAGGATGCAATCCACGCCAGGCACCGCCGAAAATGCCATGCTTGTCGCAAGAGGTCGCAAGAGGTCGCAAGAGGTCGCAAGAGGTTGCAAGAGGTTGCAAGCTGAAGATGCCAATCGTCTAAAACAAGGTGGGCTTATGATTTCTGAACGAATCCCACAAAGGATCCTTTGGGCGTTGCGTCAAGGGTCAATTTGTCCTTTGGCAAGCCTGGGCCCCTTGGATGGAGCCACAGGCTTTGAGAAGGATCTTCTTTGGTGGCTTTCCCGAGCAGTGGTGTCCTTGTTTCTCTTTTTTATTAAGGTGCCATGGTAAAATCAACTACAAAAAAGGGTTCCCCATGGCAACTGGAGGTGTGGGGCTTGAAGTAGCTAGGCCCCCCCCTTTGTGGGAAAACGGTAAAGGATTGTTTATACACTTACGCCGTAGACTTGAGACTTTGGTCAAACGTCCAACCCTGATGGAAGGCCCCCGGCAGTTGCCTCAAAGCCCGGCCATCAAAGAACACTTGTTGACTGGTTGTTCTGTTTGGGGCGTGGTTCTTTTGACCTCTTGATCTCAAGATGCAGGAAATTCAGAGCTGCGTTGTAACTGCAAGAGACACTGTCATGACACAAGTGACTGTGCAGGCTATCAGGAGCCATCGGACCCATGACATAAGGTTCTGAGCATCCACCATGCATGGTGATCAGGCGTAACTAGGTACCCCCATCTGAATTTGCGCGCAAGTGAAATCAGCACTTCCCCGCACAAAGGCGCTTCATTTTTCAAGTACCAGAGACGCGTGCAACCAAACAAAGTTTGGAATTTTGAGGACAATCCTTAATCCTTCCCTTGGGTTACAGCTGTGCGGTTGGCCTGCTGCTGCCAGACCTCAGCGCGGCTCACATCCCCTTCCGAGGACTACCAGCTCTTGCTGCACGGATGGGCGTCAGGCACCAGCGGCAATTCAGGTCAACCCCTCAAGAGGTGGGTGTTCTGTCCCATCGAAGAGCCTTAGAAGAGAATGGTGTCTGGATTTGCTGCTTGTCGCTATCACCATTGTTGGTCAAGCTTGGTTGGAACAAGCAGGGAGTAAGGGACACGGGCTCGGACAGGTGGGTTGGCCCATGCCCATCCTGGTGGTGTCCCAAAATTGGCAAAGCAGGCCCTTTCAAGCGTGTTTGGAGGAGGGCAAAAACGAAACCGCCCGTTGAATGGTGTTTGGAAGCAACTCGCTATGCGCGTATTTCCCCCCGCAAGGCAAGCATCATTTTTTCTAGAGTCGCCTCTTTTCAGTCAACCTGACTGAGGTGTCCATGTCTTCTCTCTAAGTTTCAGGTTGGCGGCGGGGTATGCCCAGACCCCTGGCCCAAAGAATGGCATGAGCTTTCGAAGCTTCGGCCAGGCGGCAAAAGCGCCTTCCTGACCAAGGAAGCAGATGCCCAGCCGCTACAGCCGGGATTTCGCATGTCATTCTAAGAATCGACCAACCCAAACAAGGGCTGTTTTATGGGGGTGTGGGGGCGGAGAGGACATGGGTTTCCGAGAGAAACGAGAACGGGGCTTGGACCTTTCTCTCGTGGGAAACCGCTGGTTGCAAGGAAGAGCTGTACATGTCCAAGCTCAAAGGTTCCTGATTTTCTGTGAGTACGGATCGCGGATCGCACTAGTCGCAAGCGAAGGCATGCGCTCTAGTAGGCGAAGACATATCCGACAGACGACAGGGCACTTGGGACCTGCCACGTGTGTTCGGCATCATATCGTAGCTTGCATACTACTGGTAACCAAGATGAAATTCATACAATAATATGCCTATCTCTGAATCAAAGCAGGGCCTTGCTCCACTTATGCTCACGCGGACACAACTGAGACTCAGAGCAAACCTTTGCTTTGAAGGGTGCCCTGGACATGTCTGGACTCGGATGCTGCGTGGTTTTCGAACCTGAGTCTAAAGCGATCTGGTTCCCACTGGGCTGTGCTACAGTCACCTCAAGGTGTGCTGTGCAATTGCCCAGCACGCAGTACCTTCGTGTAGAGCCTTGGGTTCTCTTGGCTGCGCAGTGAATAGGACCGAAAAGGTGGCCAATTAGCCTGTCGCATTTGGGGGAGGCGTCTTACGGGCAATGATTGGTGGGCCCCCCGAGTTGAACCCTGGGCCTCAGGCCCTGCTGTGCGCTATAGGCCGTTTGATGGGGGGGGGGGACAGGCCATTGGCATTCAGAAAAGCTGACTCAGAATGCTGAATGCTTGAACCCTGCGCCGGTTTGTTGTCATGTTCAAGCAGGTTAGGTGTCCGCAGACCTATCCTGTATCCCTCAGGTTAGTGTCCGCTGTTCATAGGTTGTTGTTCAGCTGTTCGCAGGTAGTTCCTCAGCTGTTCCCTGGAATGTTGAGGCAGAACCAGACTCTTACATTGCAGAACCAGGCCAAGACAGCAGACAGAAGTTGATCTAATCATCAGCCTTTTGAGAATCTCTTGAATCTGTTAGGACAATTCCTTGAGACCGGATCAAGACCATCAGTAAGTTTGGCGCCGGCAGCTAAGAGCATGCACAATGCGAAGCTCACTGAACGCCGCAAGTCCACAATTTGGTTGGTGCGGAGTGGATGCCCGCATGGACCTGTCTGACAGTGACAGCGAGCACGCAGTCCTTGAGCGTGTGAGAGACGCCGCAGCGGAGACGTTGGTCACCTGGGCCTCGCTGCCAGACTCAGCGGCTCAGCCCAAGTTCCAAGATTTCTATCGACCAAGCCACAATGTCAGGAAATTTGGTTGCCGTGGGTACTTGGCAGAAACCCGTGTCCTATCCTTGTGCCAAGGTCTTTCGAGTTTTTTTGTCCGCGTGTCCATGTCGCTTTTGGGTAAGGTTCGGGGTAAGATTCGGAGCTTCAGCGTTCAGCATGTTCCACTGACCCGCTTTGTTTTGTGGTGGTTCTCAGACGATCCTAAGGTATAAGACCCCCCCCCTTCAGGATGGTGTTGAACAAGGGAAGCTGGAATGTGAGGAATTACCATTTTCGGGATTGGCCCCAGTTATGTTTCTTCTGGGCAAACGCCCCCCTATCAATCAACCAGGAGTGGCATGAGCGCACCCAGATTTGTTTGAGGCGGACGCGCGGCACCGCTTCGACGACCACAACTCGGACTGCCTCGTTTGTGGAGTGGGGGGGCGCAGCCTGCGGGTGGGGCAGAATCGCGCCAGGCGGGAACGGGAGAAAAGTTTTGGCAAGGGAAGCAGATGTGCCATGGTCAAAAGGACCCTTGGGGTTTGTAGGGGTCATGATGGACCCTTTAATTCAACAGGAAAAAATAGTATAAGGGTGTCTGTTGTAGGAACCATGACCGTGACACAGACTAGGAGGGTTTGACCGTGGCAAAGATCAGTGTTCCTAAAACTGGGGACCCCTCACAATGATCGATTTGCATGCTGTGTGCCTTCCATCCAAAAGTGATCTCAGGACTCAGGTGAGCAACATGAGAGCAACGGACTAAACATGGGGCCTACCCAATTGAACCAACAGCAAGTAAGATTGTCCGTGGCTCATGTGGGTGTGTTGTTTGGTTGAGGGTGCCCTTTTGGGCTGCGTGAAAGGAACGCCAAAGTGAAACGACGATTTCAAGGCTCCCTCGTTTAGAGACAGACCCATGTGTTTTGTTTCTTTTTCATCATGTCTAAGCATTTGGAGGACAGCTCCCAATGCCGCTTCAGCTTGCGTATGCTGAAAACTCTTTCAAGTCCACCGGCCACCCGCCCGGCTCGGTGGGATTCGTTCTCGTTAGGGCCGAGATCACAGGCAAGGCGTCTTAGCTCGAGCGTCAGGCAGGGCGAGCTGGGCGTCACCGGGTGCTGCGTCTGGGATGCGGCTGTTGTCCTGGCGCGGTACTTGGAGTGGGCAGAGGAGCTGCGGGAGGCACAGAGCTGACGCTTGTCAGGGGCATGTTCAGTTACAAAACAAACTTGTAAGGCAGTACGTGCCCTTATAGAAGCAGTATATCCTCCATACCTCCAAAACCCATACCTGAACATGCCCTTAGGCTTTGGATCGTTTTCCTTTGGAAAGCTACTGGTGAGTTCAGGTTGTGCCCACGGTTGGTTGAAAAAGCTGGTTTGACCGAAAAGCTTGAAAATAGAGTTGGATGTAGAATACAAGTTTGAACCCCTCCGTTTTGGTGGAAACATGAGGTTAGACCCCCCTCCCTCCGTGAGATTGATTGATTCATAGGCTGGCTGATTTGGTTGGTTGGTTGGTTGGTTGGTTGGTTGGTTGGTTGGTTGGTTGGTTGGTTGGTTGGTTGGTTGGTTGGTTGGTTGGTTGGTTGGTTGGTTTGGTTGGTTGGTTGGTTGGTTTGGTTGGTTGGTTGGTTGGTTGGTTGGTTGGTTGGTTGGTTGGTTGGTTGGTTGGTTTGTTGGTTGATTGATTGATTGATGGATCGATTGATCGATTCATAGATTCATAGATTCATCGATTCATCGGCTCATCGATTCATCGATTCATCGATTGATGGATTAACAATCGATTGTTTGATTGATTGATTGATTGATTGATTGATTGATTGATCGATTGATCGATTGATCGATTGATCGATTGATCGATTGATCGATTGATCGATTGATCGATTGATCGGCTAGTCGGTTGATTGGTTGATTGGCTGATTGGTTGATTGGTTGATTGGGGTTGATTGATAAATTGATTGATGGCTCGATCGATTGGATGCTTTGTTAATTTGCTTGATTGTGCCTCATTTCATTTTAGCGATCCAGCATGGATGTCCCAAACAAGATGGCCGGTTTGGTTTGGGCAAAATCTCTTCGGATGGCCTCAATTCTGAGAGGGTGAATCTTCTAGGCCGTAGATTCTGGCCAACGCTCGGATTCAAAAAGTCCGCTGCCAAGAAGCAGGCGAAGACCAAGAGCACGGACAGCTTCGCACTGGAAGATGCCGTGCACGGGCGTCGCTGTTTGGAGCTAGGAGCAGGAGCTGGGGGAATATTGGGATCTGCTGGACCACTCTGCGTGAGCCATGAGGGAATGTCCTTTAAAGTGAAGTAGTGGGCATGGAAATCATAGGAATCCCATGGCATCACTACGGCCATGTGTTCTCATGGCCACATTTGGTTCCAAGGCCCGACGGAGTTGTGGTGTGGCATGTAACCACTATGCAAAAAGCCAAGACCCTATTTTCCCATGTGTCCCCCGTAATTTTCTGAATAAGTGGAAACAACACTGTGGCTGACTTTGGACAGCTTGCGCAGCCAGAAACACACTCAATAAATACACAAAGCACCTTGTTGGCTTGTTGCGAGTATCGAAGGCCTGAGTGGCAAGCAAGTCATGGAGCCTTCCCGAATCATCGCTCCTTTCACCCGCATCCCCCCTATCAGCCACCCAGCAAAACCAACCAACAACCACCAAACAAACCCCCCACCATCCACCAAGCGAAACCCACTACCAACCAAATTGACCAACTATGGACAACGAACAGGGCAAAGTTGAGCATTGCATCAAGCATCATCAAACACTGCCTGAAAAGGGCTACACGGGCACAAACAATTGAAGTCGCACTCGTCCGGTCCCGGTTGCATTGTTTTGCATGCCCTTGAGATCTTGCATGGTCCAAAACCTGCGTGCAGCCCTCCAAAGCAAAAAAGGACTACGCGAGCCCTACAGAGTCTGCAAGACAAAGGTGGGCCACGAGAGCCTTGTGGACTCTACAAAAGTAAGAGGGCCCATCGTGTGTCAAAGCTGCTGTGCTCATCACGGCAGCCCAAAGCCGTGCTTGAGCACGTAGAACAGTCAATCTTCCAGGGAAGGGTCTACGAGAGGCACTTGTTGCACTGGATCCTACAAAATAAGTGGCCAACTTTTATCCTGCAAGATCTCGGCCGTCCCACTACAGAGCCAAACTGGGCCACGACACCTCTTCGAAGCCGGGTGCTAAGGCTAAGTAGCAGTAAGAAAGCATTGACGACACAAGCCTTGCACACGCCGGCAAGCCAAATGTTTCCGGAGCAAAGTTGGAACCAACCAAGCCTGAGCCCAACCCAAAGCAACCAACGCAGGCAAAACTGAAACCAATCACAGGAACCATTCAACTTCAAGCCAATCAACGCCCAAGCAAACCCAAACAAACAAACCAACGACATCATCATCACCAACCAAAGCTGCAACCAAGCAGGACCTAGCAAAGCTGCAACCAACCAAAACACACCCAACTGCAACCTGCCAAACCTTTTGGAGCCAACCAACAACAAAAGATATTAAACCAAAGGGATTCTTGACCATGACCTGCCTCGTTCACCAGGCTGCGGCTTGGCGGGCCTGGCGGCGGCTTCTTTGGGCGGACTGGCCCACGACCCAGACGCACGATTTGGCGCATGGGCAACTGCTTGGGAAGGTATTCGCCCACCTCCCAACGATTTGGTATGCGTGCCTTTGGTGTCATCGTTGCGTGCTTGGTTTCCTCCCCTCCTTTTGGTTTTGTTCACGTGGGCATGCTCACAGGCACAAGCCTGCCCAGTACATCTCCTTGAAACAGGGTTCTGAGCATTCCTCCGGAGCGCATTTTTGGCCGGGGCCACCCACAAGAGTCCGCTCTGTTTACCCCAAACAAAATCGGTGAGGGGCTTTGCTGAAGTCTCAAAAGGCTGGGGGGCCTCCAAGCGGGCGTTGCTTGAACTTGGGCTATGGAGCACTACCCAAATCCCTGCATTGGCCAACTCAGTAGGAGTGGGGCACTAGCTACAGCCTCCTTGGTATTGCATCAAGCTGTTCCTAGCCCTAGTGAATTGAGGTTTGGTGGGGGGCGAAGTGTTTGATACGTGCGTTGCGGCCAGAAGCGGCCAGAAGCAAGGTGTGTTCGATCAGGTTTCACATTGAGGGACTGCCCAATCACAATGCCACAGATACTCACAGTGTGACTCTCCAGATGAACATCAGCCAACAGCTTCTTAATCCTAGATGTTGATTGTCCAACTGATGCAACACACTTCCCACATGTTGGGACTCCGCACTTGTTGGGAATATGATTTGAGTAGTGGACCAAAAGCTTGGACTTTGGGGCCAACTTATTCAGGGAGTGAGACAAGGAGTTGCATGAGCCAGGGCGGAATGGGCAGAATCCAATGGCGCCCTTTGAGGCGCCGGTTGAAGGGGCCAGCTCAACGTGGCGGCATCACTTTTGAACATAGCAACAAGCAATACGATACCTTTTGCGGTATCAGTCTTTGGTCCTTCTCTCGGTCTTGTAGAGGGGATGTGTGTTGTTATTGTTGGGTTCCGTACCGAATTCCTGTAGTGGGCACGAGCAACTGAAAAAGAGCATTTGCCTTTCAGTTTGGAACTGGACCAGAACCTCCCACCCTAAGGCTCAAATTGTTTCTGGGCGCTGAAGACTTTTTTGAGTCTTGCCAAGGAATTATTCAACTCAAGTTAGGTGGGCTGGCTTTTCGCTTTCCTACAGAGAAGGGTGAGGTCTAAACAGGCAAACCTCTGGAAATGGCATATTTACGGGAAATGGCATATTTACGGGGGGGAAAAAAACCCTTGCGCCGGTTTTGCCGAGGTGACGCTCACTGACAGAGAGGAAACTTTGTCTCTGACCTCGCCTCAGCATCTAGAGGGACAACTTCGCGGATTCCCGCAACAACAGAAGTACACTCTACGGTAGATACTGGAGCAGGGGAACATTCCGGGTACACGTATGGATATTTGTCAAAGTAGCCTCTTCAGTCGGCTTTGGATGTTGAAGCAGGTACATGTTTGGACGGTTCAGCCTGCCCTGTCCGAGCCCCCAGCTCAGAGGCCCGCTTTTGGGTATTTCTTGGTATTTCAGAGGCCACCTTGGTCCGGAGCTGTGGTGAATCATCCAGAAACGCTGCATGCATCATTCTCCCCAATTGACTAAGCCATCATTTGGGGGAATCTTCTTTTGTGGGTTCTGTGTGAGTTTGCAGAGTAGCGTTTTTCGGTGCCTTCTGATTCTCAGCCTCTCGAGCTCAGGGTCATTGGCGCCGCGAAAGGGACACACACACACACACACACACACGCACACACAGAGACACAGAGACACAGAGACACAGAGACACAGAGACACAGAGACACACACACACACTCACACACACACACACACACACACGGGTAGGTATTATGTGGGGGTTTAAATCGTTGGCCCCCTTTTTGGGTGGTTTTAAAGGGAAACCGAAAGGAACCCAACTATTTTGTGGGATTCCCCTATTTTGAGAAAGATATCAAGACTAGAGATGCCCAAACGGGGGGGTTGCATCACAGTTCAACTCGTTTGACACACTTTTGTTCTTTCTACGCTGCAGTTCAGGGCAGACCACCCACGTACTACGCTTGCTTGCCGGCTTTGGCCTGCAATGCCAGAGATTATGACCTCGGCTTCGAGCGGACACCGGGTTCACACGTTCATTCAAAGGACAAACACCACCGTGCCCCTGGGCAATCGGGGATTTCTTGTGCCAAGGCTGGAGCGCAACGTGCGGGAGTTTACAGGAGACCATTGCGGTGTCCGCCCAACGCCCCTTGAGGGAAGTTGGGCATGTGGCTGTCTCCTGAAATAGGGAACACAGAGTCCATTGTTTGTTGGTTTTGAAGGGAACCAAAGGTAGACCCGCCAGGAAAAGGGGATTCCCCGGCTTCGGACTATGACTTTGTGTCACCGCGAGCAAAGGGCAAAACAGCGGGTTTGAAGTCATAGGCCGCTTGGAAGGGAGCCACGGAATTGACGGTTTCCAAACTGCCTGATGCAAGGACATAGCAGTGAACCTTTCAATTGTTTGGACAATGAGTGTTGCCTCACTGACAAGGACACTACCTAGTTTGTGTCGGGGTTAGTTTTGCCAACCCAGCAAGCATCAACAAGAAAAGACGCTTCATGGTGAACCGCTGTGACTAGCAAACTACGTACCTGAGTCTTAGGGTCCCAGTCACCTTGACAGCGCCGGCCAAGTACGCCGCATTGAAAGGCCAGTTGGGTTGAGGTGTCTTGTCATTGACACCATAGATAAATGATGTTCGCCATTGCAACATGCTGGTGGCCTTATTTGTGCAACATGCTTAGATTTAGACGTGACTTTGTGCGAGTCTCAATGCGGTTTGACTTGTTTGAACATACATGTACAATAAATTCAGTACCGTATGTGATATGAGAGTGAGCATGTGTCGTCATATTCTGCTTCGGCAACGAACGCAACAGACCATGATGATGGAGCTGGTCAAGCCAGACCACAGCAATCCCTACAAACTGTTTGCTTGCATTCATGCTGGGTAGCTCCAGTAGTGCACCTGCAACTCGTATGTCCAAGGCGCAAAGGGAAAGCGCGGCAAGCCGCAGTCTTAGTTGCCAGCTTGGCTCAACTTGTGAAAATACGCTTCCAGCTGAGGCGGAGTCGTCCTGCTGCTCGGAGGCTCCAGAAGTCCAATACCTGGACTGGAGCGAGTGCTCGCCTCATGGCCCGGCTGTCTGGGTGGTATGATCCGGCTCTTCCGGTTGTCCTTTGGAACCAATAATTATGGAACCCTGGGTTTTGAGCCAATTATAAAGACACGAGGTCCATCCAACACCCCAGGTTTGTGAATTGTCCCAACCCAACCCTCATAGGCGGTCTCAATCTTTTTTGCTGGGTGAGTCAAGGGGCCAAATGACTGAAATACTCCTTCGGACAGAAGCTAAAGTCGCCCAGGCCCTTGGAATGTATGGGACTGTGAGACCCCGAGGCCACTGGAGCTGGAAGGCAAGACGTACGAGGCACTGTCATTTCGGTTGCTTGATAGGCGAGTCCCAGAAAAATGTGTTCGAGCCTAGGGTTGGTAAGGAAATCCAAGGTGGCAAGTGGGGAGGTATCCCTGGAGCTGAGCCAAGGATAAGCCCTTCAGGCCTGAGCCGTTTTGGATCCAGTCCTCTGACCCAGCCCGAATCAGCGCGTGTCAAGTTTGGCCGCAATGAAATGCATTGAAGCATGAGTTTGGACCGGTCCGTACGTCCCATGCTCTTTGCGGAGCGTGGCTTTGAGCAGCCCCTGGCACGCAGGTGATTCTTGCAGCCGACTGACACCGGCTTACAACCCAGGAGTGTTTCTCCACCTGGCCTCACACCACAACAAGGGAAAATGGGCAGGCCGGCTTCATACTGTGGTTAGACCGTTCTTAGATACCTGCCATTTTCTCTTGGGGACAGTGGTGTGGGGGTGATGGAGACCCTCCTACAGCGTGTGAGTGTATGGCAGCATCAACTCATAGGCGCCGATTTGCATGATAATGATGATGAGGCTTGTACTCTCTGGATGGTGCTGAATCTCTAGCCATGCGCCCAGATCACGGATGGCTTTCTTCCTTATGCGTGCGCAAGGCATTCCGGAGAAGTGAGAGCAGCTTTCGCTTGGGTGATATGCTCTGCCTGGGACTTTCGTTGCCCGCGGCTTCCATTCCCAAAAGGGCCCAACTAGTTTGGACACGTTCTCATGTTGATGTTTGCGGACAGGTAGCCTTCTCCAAATCGAGGCAGATCCAGCTTCCGTGGGACAATTATCCGTCCGAACAGACACCTCCCCTTGCTAATCGACCACAGGGTCCCCCAAAAAAAGTTCCTCCAGGAATGAGGATTTTGGGGCTACAGGCTACATGTTAATCTGCAGGGAGCACCACCCCCCAACTCCCCCCCTCCGTTTTTAGAGGGATCCCACTTCTTGTGTTTCATGTGGGATCCAAAGTCGCCTGTTTGCTGCATCGTTTTGAGGCCCGAGTGGTGACGTCGCTGTGTTGCCAGCCTGGGAGTGCCTCGGCCCTCTTTCTTGAGCACGCATGTGGAGGATTGTCAAAATTTGGGGGGCGTGTTGGGCATACCTCCTCGTATGTTGGGGGGGGATAAACTTCAAGTCAGGGTCCCTTCTTTGAAAGCCTGTAACGTGTTTTCTCCAAAACAGAGGTCCATCACTTTGACAGCCACCCACGTGCAGCTCTGAGTGTTGGATGGTTTTGGTGGTTTGGCTGGATCCTTTCGCGGGTTTGATGTAGTGACTGGCTTTGGTCAGAGCTGCATAGCTGAACCTGTGATTGCTAAGTAGTGGTTGGGTCGATGGCAGACCATCCAGCGCACCATGATGCAAGCGCATGCTGTCATCATGTTTGCCATCTTCAAAGATAGATGCTGTGGTGGGAGAGCAGGACTTGTGGATATTGTGGTGTAGGCAACACTAGGCAAGTATAATCACGTGTAACCACTACATTGTGACATGGGTTGCAGAGTATGGATGTTCGTGGGCCTTTCGGGTGCAACACATTTCACAAGCGGTGTGAACTGTGCAGATTCCAGCATCAGAAATTCACCAATGGACACTTGCATGGTAAGTATGGCTTTACTGCTTTACGCAACTTTCTGTGGCTGGCCCTCGGGAACTCAGCCTTGAGCGCAAGGTAGCAGCCGGCCCTTTCTTTGCAACCATGAGAGGCCCTACTCATTGGGGGGCTTTCCGGTTTATTTTCGTCTTGAGACACCAACCAAAAGTCTGTCTAGTGATAGGGACTTTGGTATCACAGAAAAGCTTTCTCCGCTACAGCACATGCTGGGCTCTTGCAGACCCTTAAGGCTCAAGCTCCATGTGCACAGGGTTCCTTTTGTCCCTTTTAAGGGGTGGCTAAGCAGTTTTGGGATCAACGCTTGAGTTGTTCCATCGTAGCCAAAGGGTAGCCGAAAGGAGCCCGCCCGGCCATGTTTGGAGTGAGGCGCCGCCTACGGCGCACGTCTACTGCTGTCACAAGAGCTACGTGCCCCGGAGGCCAGCCGACGTTGTGCTAGGCCCTGAAGGAGGGGTTCATCCACACGGGGGGATCCATAAAATACGGAGGTTCATCCATGAATAGGGATTCAGCCAGAAAGCAGAGGGATTCATTCATGATGTTTGTGCTTGATTGAAAATCAACTGGCAAAGGCTTAGAGGCTCCTTTGCCCGCCCTAATTGTCCAGACCTCTCTTGTTCCGTTTGGCCAAAACAGTATGAACAATTCACGAGGCATTTTTCCCCAGAGGGGTTCTAACTTCTAGCAAAGAGAGGAAAGTCATTTGCGAGATTGACGGCTGGGTGCTAGGGGGCATGCAGTTTGGGGTGCCCGGGCATGTGCTGTTTTGGGGTGCTCGTGATGCTGTTGACGGCACAGGTGCATTTTAGCGAGAGTGACGGCAGGGCTAGTGGGCATGCAGGGTGGGGTGCTGGTGCAGGTGCAGTTGTTCTCTATTTGGGGTCGATGCTGGTGTAACGTATATTTCAGTTTTCCATGGAGAGGGCCGTGATTATTCAGGGGCCTTTGTAGGGGAACTGACCTCAGACCTTGATTTGTTTCACAAACGGTAGCAAGAGTTTGTTTGTTTGGGCTACCGGAAAGTAGTATTGGCATGTATTGAACAATTATTGTTGTAATTTGAACAACGTTTTTCCTTATGAGTTGCTTGGCCGAAGAGATGTCTATCATCGTGGGGTCCTTGGTGGTGCCGGTATTGAATGGCAGTTGGCCAAAACAAAGGGACTGTCTTCAATCAAGGGGTAGATTGGGTGTCAGCATTGAAGCAGGGGTTCATTCATAACTTCGGGGTTCATCCATAAAGGGTGGCCGATATTCTAAAGATCTCCCATTCTATTCATCCATAGTGCGCCTGAAAAAGAGCTCAAAGTCGCTCTTGTCGTTTGGCTTTGTTCTGAAAAGAAAAAAATTGGCAAAGTGCAGCAAAGTACAGCTAGATACATGGGTTTGCCTCACAAGGGAACTCAACGAACCTGAGACCCTTGGGCCCTTGTTGGGTCTCAGCTGCCAGTGAACATGCTCCCTGAAACCAAAGGAACCCATAGACCCATCCATTTGTTGATGAACGGAAGCTCCTTCTGGGTTTAAAGGTCACCTGTTTTGGGGTCCAAATCTATCAAGTTGCAAGGGATAAACAGACTCAGCTGGCCTTTTTGCTGTTGTGCCTCTTGATCTCCTTCGTTCCGCAGTGACCAGCAAACAGTTGAGCAGTTTTTGCAGGGTGACAACGCCTGGTCAGTGGTTGAGGGCTCAACTGAGACGCCCAAACAGCGCGCAAACAGCCGGCTGCATTATTGCTGGCTCCATTGCACGTGTGGCATCTTCCCAACAGTCAACATGTGTCTTCAGGACGGCCATGGAACCGAAACATAACGAGCGAAACAGGTGATAAATGGGATGCACTCGCCAAACAATTCCGTGTGCCAAAACCGAGGACCCTTGCGGAGTAATGTCAACTTAAGTTGTATAAATGGCCCCGAATTAATGTTTTCTGGGCATTTCTGGGCCAGCCAGGCCCGTTTTTAACCCAATACTAAATTAAGCAGGGGCTAATTCAAAGGTTAATCGCAGAAATACCAGATCACGGCCCTCGGCCGAATTCCCCGGACCCACATGAATAAACCACCCCCAAAAACCACATTAGTAAAATTCCCCAGCAGCCTTTCAGGGCCAAACTTTCAGGAATCTTAAAACCAGGGATCAAACAAATCAGGTATTAACAGAATCAGGTAGCAACTCCTGAAACACGCATGTGCAGAATACCCTTGCCCACGACCTTGCATGTCTTCTATTTTATGCACAGAAGATGTACAGTGCATCCCCCAGATCCAAACATATGTTGCAGAATCAATTTGCTTGCACAGAGCCATGCTCAAAAGATGTAGAAGCTCAAGCTTCTGATCTCAGATTTCAAAACACAAACGCCCCAGAAAGTGTTTTTTTTTTTTTTTAACGTAGCCCCTTTCAAAAAGTGATGCCCCAGCACTCCATCATGAGGTAGCCCACACAAAGCCCCCAAAGCCACATTAGTAACTGGTTCACATCAGTAAACACTTCAGACCGCCCCCAGGAAGAAAAAACACTGGCTTGTTGCAGACCTAGCTGTCTGCCCAAGTACTACAACAAGTATTATAACAAGTACTACAACAAGTACTACAGCAAGTACTACAACAAGATTACAACAAGTACTACAACAAGTACTACAACAAGTACTACAAGCAGTACTACAAGCAGTACTACAAAATCTACAAGTACTACTACTACTGCTACCACTACTACCACTACTACCACTACTACTACTACTACTACTACTACTACTACTACTGCTACTACTACTACTACTACTACTACTACTACTACTACTACAAAAACTAAAAGTACTAGAAGAGGCACTACAAGCAGTAATAGGAATTCTACAAGTACTGCAAGTACTACTGCAAGTACTACTGCAAGTACTACTGCAAGTCCTGCGAGGACTGCATGTACTACAAGTACTTCTACAAATGCTGCAACCAGTACTACAAGTACTACGAGCAAGACTACAATCCCATTTTGGTTTTATTTCGGAACTTGGCTTTAAAAAAAAAAAACGTTGAGGGGGGCCCTTTACTAGTATGAAGTCAACATTAGTGAGTAGCAGTCAAAGGCAACCAAGGGGATAGCCTTTTTTTCTTTTCAAGTCTGGAGAGACACCAAAATGTCACATTGATTTGAGGACCTTAGGGCAATGGATCTTCGACCATCGACAGGTCCTGGAAACCTTTCTGGAGCAGGCCGATCCGTCGGGCTCTGTCTTGATGCGAACGTGGGGGCACAGAAAGACGGCATCCGATGGACCTTCCTTGGCATCAAAGACCTCACTCCAAGTCAGTGCCAAACAAAAAACTTAGCATTTGACAGCCCCATATGCGGCACTAGGTAGCTATCTCCGAGTAACCAAGCAAGAGCTTGCGTGGTTGCTTTTTGGTGCGACCCTTCATGTAACTTGCTTTTTGGAAAATGACCGTTTACCAACTGACTGGCAAAAAGTACGACAGTGACAACATTTTGGCAGGGGTCAAATGACCGCCCCAGCTTGCGACACTCGAACAGGTCCTCCCTCACTTTCGAGCCTTCCGACTGCCAGCACCGCCAAGAGCTCAGTCAAGCTGTGCTCTCTATTTGGGCGGATACACTCGACTCAGAGGAACCTTAGGGTGGGCCGTGACTGACTTGTTGGTTTGATGAATCCCTTCTACACCTTACCCTGCTTTCAATGCCCATGCCAGCGAAGGTGTTTGGCAGTTCAGTGAGCGAAGGTGTTTTTGCTTTGGGTGACTTTGAGGGGACGTGAATCTTCTTGGGATTCTAAACCCGAATGTTTGGGTCAACCCGACAAATGGCAGTGTGGCTGCCTTCAAAGATTTGAGAGCTGCATGCTGTGGCCCCGTGTTGCCTTTATCCCTTACACAGATCAGTTCATCGAACTGAACAAATCGAAGACCATCCAGCAAGTGCAAACAACCGTCGGGCCTTTGTCTGGCATGGCAAGCGAGGCCCACTCTGGAACGAGCCGCGCCCTGTGCTGCGACCTCGGCATTTGCTATTTAAGTCCAAGCAGCTATGTACTTTTGGGTTACCCCGGTTTTGCAATTCACTCGCATGGAATGATCGTCCAAGCAACCGTCCTTTCAATGTTGATGGGGCAAGGGTACCCCTGTATTGGCCTTCACCATTCCATCGGCGGCATGACATATATCACCTCTCATTCAGCTCGAACTTATATTCGCTCGCGCAGGTGGTGCTCTACCGTCTAATCCCAAAAACATATCCGATGCAACAAAGATAGAAATCAAAATCCGACAAACATGAATATAATATACAAACTAAAAGAACACGTATACATATGACATGCCAAAATAGCATAGCCCATTCCAACAATATACATAAATATAATTTTATATATAGAGATTTGATACATATATATATATAGTTGCATGTACAATTAGATATAATTGTTTATGAATATATATTGTTTATATGACTTATTTTGTTTGTATTAATATTTTGATTGGGTGTTGAATTGGTTGAAAATACGAAGAATATGTAGGTTATTTTGGATTGTATACAATTTTATTAAAGATTGTGTGGAATGAATTATTGTTGTTTCTAATTATGGACAAAAATAAATTTGTTATGATGTTTTGTTATTGGGATGGTGGTTGGGATTAGATTTAATATTATATAATGAATGATATATTGAAATATAATTGATATAACAATTAATGTAAAAAGAATAAATAATTGAATAATATAAATAATTATATTAATAAAAATTAATATAACTATAATTAAAATTGATTATTGATATTATGATTGAAAATTAATTGGGAATATATTTGATAGGTTTAGATGAATATGTATAATTATATATGTTAATTTTGATATTTGTAAAAATTGATTTATTATTATATTTATATGTATAATATATATATATTATGTTTTTTGTTATATATATGATTGAATTTAAATTATTATATATAAAATATATATAATTAGAGTATTGAATATTTTGAATTAATTATTTGTTTTATTTTAATTTGAATAATGTTTATATTTTTATTTTTGGGTTTGTTGTTTCTTTTTGCTTCTTTGTTTTGTTATTGTTGTGTTGTTTTATATTGTTGTATTTTTGTATATATTGTGGTTTTATGTTTTGTATTTTTTTTCTGGTTTTTGATTTGGATGCTTTATTTGTATATTTTTTATTTATTTATTTTGATATTTGTTTCCCCTTTTTTTCCCCGCTTTTTTATTTTATTTTTTGTTTTGTTGTATTTTTATATTTTTGTTCGTGTGTGTAAATATGTTGTTGTTTTTTGTATTTTCACATTTTTATTGTTATTTTATTTATTTTTTCTTGGCAATGGGATATAATATGGGGAGGTAAATTCAAAATAAAATAAAATAAATATAAAATAATAGAAATTTTAATAATATACAACTATATAAAAATTTTATAACACTTTCGTTATACCTTCGTAAAACCTTCATACAATGTTTATAGAATTTTCATAGAACCAAAATATAAAATTATTAAATTATTAGGAAATAAAAATATCTCCAATATCATATTACATTATTTTTAATGTTCGCATTACACCGGAACCTTCGTAAAATTTTATGCAGCCCTAGTCGAACCCTCGTAGATTTTATTTTTTTTTCGTAAAATTGTGTTAATTGTTTTCAGAAATTATCTAGGCTAAAACCCCTTCAGTTATTAGGGCAAATATAACACAAAACAACAATTATATCAATAAAAATATAAAATAATATTATTTTAAAAAATAAATCCCCCCCTACTCTCTTCCTTACTCTCCCCCTATTTTTCTCCATATTCTACCCCCAACTCTCTCGAATAAATGCCCTCTACCCCAAAATAAAATTCTCAAATATATATTTATTTAATATAAAATAAACAAATAATTAAATAAAATAATTTCAACAATTATCATAATCACCATTAAAAAATCAATACGTTGTAAACACGCCCACCACACGCCCCAATCGATATAAACAACTAAAAAACCAATATACAAGCCAATACAAAAATATCCTTCAACCATTTCTTTAACTCCAAAATATTATTATATATCGTCCTTAAATATTTATTAAATAACAAATCATATAAAAAACATAATTATTTACATACTCATACATATAATTAAAAATATATCTACACACATAAATTAAAATAATTAATTCTATTATATCTAAAATACATCTAAAATAATTATACAAATAACTTACACTTTAAAATATTAATATGCCGTATATAAATATAATTATTTCAATCAACATCATTATCAAATCCTTACCATATAAAATAATTCGTAACCATATTATTATTATTATTTAAAATATATTCCCTTATTATAATATAACAATATCATAATACCACATCATATAATTATAATTATAATTATTTATTTAAATATATATATATATATCATATAATATATTAATCTGTCTAATATACCATTTATTTTAATAACAATCAAATCAATATATCTATTCCTAAGATCCACACATATATCTTATATCTTCTGTATACATATATATGCTGAGCACAATCATAATATATTTCATTGGATGACATCTGGGCCTCCTTCTATATCCCTCCATGTAACCACCAAGGCTGTCAGATTGTCATCGCTTGCTGCCTGGGGGGACCCACCAAAAGCTTCGCACCCTGAAGCGTGTCTTCGATGCATTATTGACGGCATCTTGTCGTGGGGTGTCCTTTCTTCCAGTCTGGCGCCCCTGAGGTTAATCAAGGCACAAGGGGAGTGATCCGCTGAAGATAAACCACCTCAAAATCCCAGGTTGTCTTTTGAGGCTATCCTCTTCTCGGCTTTTAAGGGAAGCCAATGGAAAACCACCCAGCACCTTTCAAGGGCTACCAAATGGTACTCTAAGTGACCTTCACTGGGATGCAAAGGAATGGTTCTAGAGAGACAACAATATGAAGACATAAGAAAGACGCAATTCATATTCATGTTTATATGATTTCCATCTTCATGTATGTGTTTTACTATCATTATATATGTTATTTCATCTTTGTTTATTTGTGTGATGTTGGATGTATTTGCATGTTGGCATCATGGTGTATTAAAGGATAGACATACTCTAAACTTCTCAGTAGAATGACAAAGCAATTATATAAATCATGCTGGTTTCTTCTTCTTTGTTCTCTGGAGACCCAGCTTGGCTTCCCGGCTGCAAAGGAGCGTCTGACCAGCGCCATGGCAGCTTCCTGCGCATCCGCCTGAGCTTCCGCGGGGTCTTTGCTTGAAAAAATGATTTCCCCGCAACTCTAACATTTAGCTCTGGTTGTGTTTCAGGGTCGACTTTTTAGGGGTTTGCCTTTCCACCCTGTGCGGTGAAGGTTGAAGATGCCACTTGACAGCCAGTTCAAAGCCAGTCATTTTGAGACAAACAGCCCAGCCTGGCTGGAGCAAACTGCCACTGCATCGTCGTCTTGCAGCACATCCCAGATACCTGCCGACCATCTTGCAAGCGAAGCCGCCACAGTCAGAGATGACCAGAGGTGACTCTGGGCCATCAAACCCTTTGGCAGTGACCTTCCTCTTCCTCTAATCCTCTCAAATTCCTGCATCATAGGGCGCATTTTGTCCACGAACAGTCCATTGCATTCCTACTGAACCCCCTTTCCCAGCACTATTGTTTAACCATCTCCTTTTGGTTTGCCTTTAGACAGGGTTCAGGTCTTGGCTGTTTAAATCAAATTTGCTCAGCCCGGATCCAAGCCATGCCAGCGCACCATCACAGGCCAAGATCAAGAAGCGATCCTGACGGGCGCCAATGGCCTTGTGACAAAAGCCAGTCGACGCGAACTGGTTAAATCAGCAATGTGGAACATCCTCTTGGACTGGGGACCGGCATGTTCTTTGACCACTTATTTTTAGAACCCACTAGGTGCGACCAGCCCGTTTTCTCCGTTCATTCTGACGATTTTGGGCAGACTACAACTGCTTGGCAGTTGTGGATGCCGAGCCTGGAGTCTGGCCAGAAGTGCCTTGGTATGATTTCCTCACCGATCTGACGCAATAGTTTTGGAACTCGACAATCAATGTGCATGGCCTGCAGGCTCTACAAGCTTGTGAGACTCTTGCCACCCCACTCGCTGCGCCCTCGGCTGCAAGTATTGTCGTATTTCTGCATGCCCATGGCAAATATGGGTTGGTCTTTGTTCGCTTTGTCTTTTGGTGTGTGCAAAAGAGCAACCCAATGGACATGCCGACCAATTTTGGTGTGAGACATTCCCGTATGATTCCTTCTGGCGGGCGCCTCTAGACTTTAAACAGTCGAATAGCGAATTCGCTCGAGTCGTCTGATCTTAGACCATCGCTGTTCCGTCTTTCCCTTAAGTTTTGCTTTAAAGCAGCAGCCAGCTCGGATGTCTTGTTCTGCAACAGTGTCGCGTCCTTCGCTCTCTGTTCAAACCCCTCTGACAAATCTTGGAGTCCTTCCCACAAATCTTCGAGTTGCTCGTCTGAAATAAGCTCTTCCGGTATAGATGCACTCTCCACCTCGGGCAATCTTGGACTTGGGATGTCAGTTCCCACCGTCGCTACCATCTTGTCCGCCTTCTCCAGCAAGACTTGCAGCTCCGATTCCACCTTCTGCAACGCCTGAGGGCCAACCTCTTTGAAACTTGTCCCACTTTTTGTCCAACAACCTCTTTTAGGTTCAAACAAACACCAGGGTCTGGTTGCAACAAATTTCGACCAATCTCAGCATGACCCTCTCTCTCTAAGTCGTGGTTTGAAAGAACCACTCCCAAAGTAGTCCTAAGAACACCCAAAACACATTCAGATTGAAATCCCGTTGCCTGCACGTGAGTTGATGAAGCCTTCGGGCTGGTTGCCCTCTGGGTGGTTGCCGGACTGGAGTGGCGCGACTCCCGCCCTGCTCGGGTTGGACTGGTTTGCCGCGCAAAGGCTTTCTGACGGGAACGGCCCACGGTACTCGTCCTGGCAGCGGTAGCAAAATAGGTTTCACAAACACCGTGGCGCCCTTGAAGGCAAATCAAAAGGAGGTCGATACAAGGAGTTTATGAGGGCCTTATTTGCCTATTGAAATGGGTAGGGTACTAAACCAAACTAATTCTTTGTGAGGGAATGTGTAATTAACCAAGCCGTTTCAATCATGATTGAAGTAGCCGGATATCGCCCAAGCTTGCCTGGTACTTGTCATCGTCCTGGGCGATTGGGGCTCCAAGCCCAGTGCTACCAAGATCCGGTTCTGGCCATCAATCACCTGGGTTGAGTTGGTACCCTGGCAAACCTTAAGGTAAACCAAATCTTTCTTAACCTTGAGGGAAACCTTTGAGTTGCTAACCTTAAGGGGAAACTTTTTAGTTGCTAACCTTAAGAGAAGCCAACGAGGAAACAGCACAATGAAAAAAATAGACATTGTGTCACAATGTCATTTTTTTTTGCGACCAACCTGGCTCAGGCTGGGGTTCCCCACCTCTTGGTGGTGTGTGTGCATCACATCCGCGACCTCCTCCCGGATCATCTTCCGCAACTCAAGCACTGAGCACTGCACCAGGGAATGCATGATCACCTTGCCATGAGAAAGGAGAACAGGCACTCCTTTCCTCAGGTTCCTTCCTAGTGGGAGGGTTAATGTTCCAAGCTGGAACCCTTTTCTCTTGGTTGATGTCAAAGAGAAACCCTTCCCCCCCAAACAAAAACGACCAAAAAAAACACAAGTTGAAAACAGGTGCTGGGCTGGGTCACTGGATCTCGCTTCAGGAAGCTTCCCAAGTTCTGGCAGAACTCCAAATACGACACCTCACCCGAATTGTCCGAATCCTTGGTCCAGATCTGCAAAGCGAAGCACGTGTTTCCTGGATTCGTGGGGGCTTCCCGTCCAAAGACACGGCTCCAAAGCCCTTTCAGGGTAGACAAAAAGCCATTGGAAAAGCAAAACGCGCGGACTCAATACCGACGTTGTAGGTCACTTGTGGTATGGCTTTGAGGTTCGAAGCAACCTAACTAAGAGCAGCCAAGAATCCAGGACATTGAAAATAACCTGCATCTCATCCCGCTTGATATCCATCTGTTGCATGAGCTTCCGAAAGGCCTCCAGCTGGTCGTAGCCACTTTCCTTGGTCTTTTCGCTTGCAAAAAAATGGATCTGTCTGCATTTTGGTCGGGAAAGAATCACTTTCAGGTGCAAAGGTTTAAGGTCATACCGAGTAAACAAGTGTCCATCTCATCCAAGGAGAGCAACCCGTTGTTGTTCTTGTCCATGGATGCGCAAAGCACAGCCAAATCGATCATGTTCCTTGGACTGATCAAAGGCCCGAAATGCAAAAGGGTCTGCGGCTATCCCTCCGACAAATTGGTTTAAGGGGAAAACAAGTACACATATTATTATCCCATAATCATGGGGTAACTTAGATCAACAGCACTTCGCACAAACCCACGATTCTAATGATTTAGACCCTTACAGTATGTCTCTGCCACAAATACACCTCCGTCAATGATTTCAGCACACCAATCAAGCTTGCAGGTGCTTCGAGTCACAAATCACACACACACACACATCTGGAACATATGGAGGGTGCCAAAATCAAGTCTGCCAAAGGAGAATCTTGCTCCTCTCCTGATCCTTCTTCCTGATCTTGGCCTCGTGGTCGTTCTCCCTGGCCTCACTGGATTCCGTCAAACTGAAGAACGTCACCCAGCTCATGTGAAGACATTAAATCAAACAAACATACCCCCTGCCAAGCTTACCAAAAAGGATCCCAACGCAAAATGCAAACTCATCATTCCATCGCACATGGAAAGTATACAAGGACAAACAAACTCATTTAAAGAGCCAACCAGAAGGTGTTGCATATTTCACCTCTCCCCCCCAAGGGCCTCACACAGAAAAAACAGAACAAACAGCAGGGACATCTTTTCTCCAAGTTGGGTGGCCTCAGCCGCCCGCTCCACTATGACGGCGAGGATAAGATTCATAATCCCCATAGAGATGGTCATCATGATGATGAAGAGCATGGGTCCCGTCCAGGGGAATGCCTGGAAGGAGGAGGAAGCCATCTGATTTGTTTGCACCTGGCCCTCAAACCAGTGGTTCCCTTTTGGTGGTCTTTGAAATGGTGCTGAACGCCTAGTAGAAAACCCCCAACCCCCCTGAGGTTGGAAATACCCAAACGGGGCCCAATCCAGTGAACCCCAAGGGCCCCTGTAGTAGAGGAGGTCGAATAAGACCAAAATACGTATATACAGGGCAATGTTTGGTTTCTAATGGAAAGCACATGTAACTACAAGGAGCACGGGTCATAACGCGCCGTGGCGCGTTTGACAGTGCCTCATCAACGAAAGCATGTGTTTTACCAGGGTTTCTGGCCAAAGGTCGAAAAGTCTCACTTGCAAAAGGCCCTCAAACTACTTGTAGCAGCAGCCTCTTTTACATAATCTCGCTTAGCTTCTTCAGGAAGGCCAAAGGTTTCAGTGGCTCATCGTGCATGATGTGTTGTCGCCACATCCACATATAGCAATACTTTGCAACCTCTACATTGAAGGTTGACTGCCCATTCTCTTTGATCTTCAAGATCAACCGCCGGGGGAGCCAGGGCTTCAGTGCCCCCCAGCTGCGATCAATGCACTGGGTCCCTGCCTGGCCACTTATTGTCTTGGTTCCCTTGTGAGTAGGGCGACAGAAAACACGAAGTTGGTGAGACACTGGCTCCACTCTCATGTGCTTCGCTGTCGCTGCTGAGTTCCATGCCACATTGCCGTCGGGGAAAATGCACACCGATTTTCTCGGCTGTGTCACCAGATCCAGGAGGTTGGACTGGTGCACCTGGCAGGGGAATTATATTTAACATCAAGAAGGGGAATTAGATTTAACTGGTGCACCTGAAGGGACTGGTTTGCGCCCGCAACACTGAATGCCAGAAAAAATAAGTCAGAAAGTCTTGGGCAGTGTGAAACATGGCCTGCGCCAAGCTCTCGGTACAAGGTCTAGACTGAGGAACAGCCAGAACAGGAGGAGCCACCCACAAGTAAGGAGGGCCATTGCGCTGCCTTGCCCCCAATACAGGTATGTGGGCCACAAAAGATTTTGTGGAATGGGTTTGGACTTCTTTTTCAAAGATTGGACGATCTTTGCTATGGCATCTTGGTAGGTCACGTTGTCTGCGCGCACATGAAAAAAGCCCAATGAAGTCCCATCGACTTCTATATTGCCGGTCATGCTGCCCTTGGCAAAGATCTTTCTCGCTGCTTCACTCTCCCGGCACCGAAGCGCAGCCAAAAAGTGGCGTGCCTGCCGGTACCCCACCTTGCTGAACTGGATCAAGTCATTCTCTGCTGGGTAGCGGGAAAGGTCAAGGCTAGCATACACACACAGCATCTTCAAGAGCACTGTGGGAAGGCATCTCAGCCCGCGGAAGATGGAGAAGTCATACAAACCAGTGCGAAAGCCACACGCCAGGCATCTCCAGTGCAAACTGCTGCGCTGCCACTTCAATGAACTAAAGCGTTGGCTGGAGCACTGTGAGCATCTCCGAGGCTTCCGCAAGAACCTGTTCCGCAGCAAGTATTCAGCAGCATCCTCTGGGCCGTTCATGGTGTCGCAAGGCATGGGGTCAGGCTTGAGCTTACGCAGCTCCGCCGGGCTCCGCTTCCGAGTGACTTGCGCAGCGGGCTTGCACTGGTACTTAGCCTTGGCTGACTGCTTGTGCGTGACACTCTTGTGCGGAGCATTCCGCCACTTCTTCTCTTTCCGGCGTACTTGTTTGGCCTCTGCACGAAGTCTCTTCACTTGTTCATTCAGCTGACGGATTTTCCATGATGCTGGGTGGCTGCAGCGCTCCAGTCGATGAGAAGTGGATCCACAGCATGAACAAGCGTGAGTGGCCTGCTTGTCCTTTGACCGCCGAGAAGCAGGCTTGCGAGAGACAGCCATCGCTGCCAGAACGAAACAGACTACCCCATGTCTGAGCCGCCCTGGCCTGAGCCAACCCAAAGCATCTTGAAAACATGGTCCCTTCATTTGCGCAGCTAGTTTTCAACTTCAGCGGAGAGCTCGAGCCTGCGGTCCATGTCGCAGCTGCCAGCCGACGTTACGCTGCCAGCGCTTCATTTCTCGGATCACACTTTTGGGAAGCTGTTCAGGATCACCTGCGTACCTATGGCCTTGCCAGCACAGTCTTTTGTGCTGTGAGTCAAATACCCAAAAATTCTTGCAACGAATGTATGCACGGCCCTGGTGAAAGCCACTGGGGGCGCCTGACACCCCTGACACGTTTCCGGGGTTGGTGAACTGGGGTGGGAGGGCAGGACTCCCCGCTTTCACAAGCTTCTATGTCGGACTAAGATGCCACACCAGCATGCCAGAAATCGCTGCCTCGGGTGATGCACTCCCCAAACTCCGCTTCCTCCTCTGCCCTAGCGTCTTCAAGCATTTGCTGACTCGTCACGTTAGTGTCTGCAGATACTGGTGTTGCTTCAGCCCAAAGCCTCTCCCTCTGACCCACGAAGCGCAGTTTGGCTGCAGCGTGGTGCGGGCTTTCATTGCCATCGATGGGGCTGAACTCCTCTGCTTCTGAGTCTGAGTCACGGGTCATGGACTTGGAGTCTCCACTGCCCGCAGGGGCAAGCCGAACCAAAGCCAAGCGTCTCGACAACACCCACGCAGCAGCAGCCAGAGCCAACGATGCCTCCCCAGGGCTCTGAATGTGCCCACGAATCACCTGCAGCCAATGCTGCCAAAGCAGTGCCACGCAAGCGCTGAGGGACCGAAATTGCAACGGAAACCAACACTCAATCTCCACGACCTGGTTCACGAAGCCAAGAATGGGATCTGGCGTTTGACAGCAGGTGTCCAGCAAGGAGTCAAGATACTCAGGGTGGACCAAAAAGAAAGAGCTCAGCACCGGGTGATCAGCAAAGACATGAGAACGCCCCCCCAGGCGGAGCAAAAGGATCAATGCCAGGGCGAGTCGGCTATCGGGGGACATGTGAGCCAGCGGCACTGCAACAACAACGCGGACGTCCCGATGTGAACAACAACGACTCAACGTCTGGTCGGGCAGCAGTGAATGCGCCGATAACACTCCCCCCCCCCACCCCCCCCCCACCCCAAAGCACCCTGCAACACAGAAAAGATGCCGAAAACACACGGCGTAGTACGACCCGTGGTCCAACTACAAGTGTCCGTCAATCTGCCGGGTCGGAAACCGAACGTGTAGGTGGAAGCACTCCAAGAAAGAACGGAAGTAGGAACCATTAAAACTCATTAGTTTCTGAATTTTTTGCGTCGTCAACTGCATTGTACGGACGTTTTCCAATGGTTTTCCACCAAATGCGGTTCTGGCCAATGTCCCGTGTCCGTTTTGCTTAAATCACAGCCTCAGAATCCGTAGCGCAATTCTGTGGCTGTCAGCATTTGGCTAGGGCGCCGTGCATTTCCACGCGTATGTTATCTTTCAGATGTTGAAGTCAGCGAACCGCAACTGGAAAACACTCCAGGAATAGAACATAGATCTGGGCCCCGTGCCACAACTGCTGCTTTTTGTTTGGCCGCGCAAGTGTCAGTCTTTCAAGTACATGCCTGTGTCCTTCAACAGATCAATTAAATCGCTTTTGCTGAACCTCCGCTGGAAGCACTTGATACTCGGGATTCGAAGAGATGCCACTGGCAAGTTGTCAGGGATGTACCGCTTGCATTGCTTCCACCGAGAATCCATTGTACCTGTATGCACCTGGACCCATTTGTTGGATACTTTGTTTGTGCGGCGAAATTTCCCTGTGGAGTTCCGGCATGCTCCCCTTTATCTGCTGAAGATCAGCCATGCCCTGCGGTTATCACTCATCTTCGTGATGCCGCTTTGCTGTGATTGACGGACATTGCAGTGAAACCTGAATCGTGATGCTCTGCTGTTGATAGACAATGAGTGCTCTGAAACCTGGCCCGTGCATGCAGCCAATAAGTGTCCGCAAAATGAATGACTTCATCCCATCATCCCCCACCCCCACCTACCCACAACCCTGTCATGTCGCTGAACTCCTGAAATGGACACCACTACACGTGCGGATTTCGCTCCGTAGGCAAATACAAGTGTCCACAATACAGCAAGCGGTGATCGTTGTTTTGCTCTCGCAAGCTAATCACTGTAAATCACCAGACTTTAGACAAATTGCATTAAGATCGCATATGAGTGGTTATCTGGAATGAAGCAGACAAAACAAGAAACACCCCCCACCCCCCACCCCCCCACCCCCCTAGCAAAGGTTCAGACGAAAACTTGTTACAGGAAGAAATCGGACAGTTCTACTATCTGCATGAACATTGCCCCCAAAATGGTGGTTCCCTTTTGGTGTGGTGGAAGGCGTCCTGCCAAACGACCCCAGCTTCCGGCCAGCTCAGATAAGAAGGTGCAAATGGATACAGTATATCCTACATTGCTGCTATGTCCAGCAGTACAGGTGTCCTATCAAATTTCTTAGCCAACTGTTTCACCATGGCTTTGCCTTCACAGTTCAAACACCAAATCATTTGGCTTTAGCTGTGTATCAGATAGAGTCTCTCTCTCTCTCTCTCCTTTTCTTGGTGTATCTCTCTCTCGCTTTAGTTGTTTTTTTATTATTATTTTTTTCGCTCTCTCTCTCTCTCTGTGTTTCGACATGGCATCTCTTCCACTGTTGATTCAACATTAACCACAAGTCTTGCACCCTTTGCTTCACAAAGAAGGGCACCGCCACTGTTTCGACATCCTCTGATTTAGGCTTCCCTCGCAGATTGCACTTGTGTCTGTTCAAGCCGGGCTTTTGAACCACAGTTGTTTTCAACATTCATCGCCGTTTATCTCGCATGATACCTGTTTCTCCACCCAATTTGCCCCCCCCACCCCCCACTATTCATGAACATACACCACTGTGCTTGCACACCCACTAGATTTCCCTTGGTATATTGTTGTGGATATAAACACAACAAATACGTAATGTAATACTTAGAACGCCCTCAAGCAGGGTCCGACCCCGAGAAATCCAAGCAGCTGTCGCCGAAAGATCGCCGCCAGCCCCTCTACCTAGATCCCCCAACCATCCCCAAAAACAGGCTCGGTTGCGATAGGATGAGCGCCATGAGCCCTTAGATAAGAGCACCCAAACAGGCCCAGGAAGAAACAGGCCCACCTCATCCCAATTTGCCACCCAACAACTCGCCTCCACTAGAGGAATGGAGATCGCCCCCCAGGAATCTCCTGCCACGATCTGTTGGAAGAGGGTCACCCCCGCGGTGGCCACGCTAGCGAAGCCTTCGGGCCGAACGGAAGTACCGTTTCCCTGAGAACGAACAAATGCTCGTTGGGCTTATTTGGCTGAGGTACTTAGGGTACTCGGGGTGCTTAGGGCACTCAGCCGCTTAGGGTACTTAGGGTGCTCAGGGTACTCAGAGTACCTCAAACAGTCAAACCCAAAGGACAATAACATTTTCCTCAAACCGGGTTTGGGGGCGCAAAATGGAAGGTGAAAGTGAAACAAACATAGTCTTCACAGGTATTTTGAGACAATCGCAGCTGGGTGAAAGTAACAATTCTAACTTATTGGGGGAGGAAAGCCATGACCGGGTACTTACCCAAGCAAAAGGACTTGTGCCCTCTGTTTTTATTCCAGTGTCAAGGTTGCTTAAAGGGGCAGGGTCCTAAGCAGGAACCCAACGTACGGATGAACAAAACCCACGGATTGGGAAGCAACTGACCAAACATGATTTGTCTCAATGTTGCTTGAGGGTGCAGGGCACCTAGTGAGTGACTTGCTACGCACCCTCTAGGTACTCACTCCCCTGCAAACATGAAGCTGGAAAGCGAGTCCCCCGAAAGTAGATTTCTCAAAACAATGATGGCTGCTGGCCATGTTGATCTGCAGCAACCGTGCTCCACGTGCTAAATAGGTGGCTCTCAAAAAGCAAAACAGGCTATCCCGGCAAGAGACCCCAAATAGTATTTCAAGCTCAAACAGCAAAAAACACATTGAGTACGCAGCTAAAACTTGAAGTGATGAACTTCTGGAACCACGGCCACGGCGATTCCAGCAGACCAAAGTCCGCAGGAGTTTTGCTTCGTCTTGCAACACTTGCACTGCAGCCCAAGTCCCCAGAAGTCTTGCAAAACTCGCACCGCGTCACAGCTACAGCAATACCACCAGCCCTAGGTCCTGCTACGCAATTCACAGCAAATGCTTCTCAAAATGCAGCGCCTGCAACGAAATCTGTATCGTTCGCGTCTGCCAAGCAAAATGCACGCCAATCTCACAGAATGCCGTGCTGCCCATTGCATCAAGCCGGTGACGCAGAAGTCCGAAAACCAACACGACACCACAGCGAAAGCCCAGCTTCAGAAAACAGGGCGTTTCGTGCGAGACGGTTGTGTTCAACGCAATTTTTTGCGACTGCTGCCACGGATTTTGAGCTCCGACTGTTCGAATGTCAAGTCCCACCACGCAAAACGAGTGTTTCGCGCAAGTCTGCCTCCCTCGCAGAGTGGCCCTGCAATCAAAACGCTGCGTTAAGTCCTTAAAACAAAACGCGTTTGTTGCGATGCTTCCTGCAGAAACCATAGCTGCAACCAACCTCGCTGCGTCGTGGCCCTGCCATCAAAAATGCGTGGGGCTCTTCAAGTAAGCGTTTGGTGCGATGCAATTTCAGCACAGCGAGAGCGCAGTTTTGCAAAAAGGCACATTTCGTGTGAGAGACTGTCGCATCGAAGGCAACTTTATGCGACTGCCATGATTTTGCGGCGCTTGTTAACTGCCTTTTGGGATCGTTTGTGCAAAAACTGACTGAATGATTGGACCCATTTCGGACCTCCCACGCCCCTAGTGGCAATAGTGAACCCTTGCTAGCCTAATGATGGCGACAACCCAAGGTACCAGAACGCGCCGTATGGAATTCAGGGCCCAGGAAAGCGATGAGGGCTGGTTCCTCGTCAGTTACCCTCAGAAAGGTCCTGACGCACAAATAAAACCCTCAAGGGTTCAAGCCGAAATTTTCACACAGAACAGGCGCCATTGAGTTTCCTTTTCCAGGTCTCACAAAAGCTCCAAAATAGGCATCCCCTTGTTGAACAAGCCTCAAGTGAAAAAATATTGACCAGGGGATTCCCTAGTATCACTGTGACAGCCCACTATGGGCCCTGGCCTCTACTGCAGCGTTCGCACTCCGAGTAGGTCAAGCTGGAGGTGAGAGGATGCAGCAGTTCCACGGTGATCACGGCCCAGAAAAGGATAAAGCTCAGAAGCATCATGGAACCAAAAATGATGGCCTAAGTGGAATTCACCAAGAAAACAATCAACAAAGATATTGGGGTTGTGGCTCGTTCTTTTCAGGCTCGGTACCTCTGTTGGTTGGCAGCTTGTGTAGAACAAATCTCCTACCGTACCAAACCAAAACCGAAAAACAAACGAAAGTATCATGCATGGGTCGGTTGCAAACTTGAAACCCTCTTAGGTCGCGATTTCGTCAACACGCCCAGGCCTTGATCGAGGAGTAAAGCCCTGTGATCAATAAATAGAACTCTGGCACAGAGATGAAGACCCGGACTGCGCGCAGAACCCGGACAAGCCTCGACAGTCGCAGCAGGCTTAGATTCACCACTGAGGCCAGTCCGTAGCTGATCCATCCCAGGCAAACAATCAGCAGGTCTATCATGTTCCATGTGTTACAGAAGAAAAGGGTGCGCTCCACGAAAAAGCGCACGCCGCACTCAAGGGAGTACAGGACCAGCAAAATGGCATTGAGGACGCTAATCCAGGACACAGTATCGCTTCTAAACGGACACTCTGACATCCTGCCATCATAGGCAGGGTAACATCTGGCATCATGGTCTGCTTCAAACATGATGAGACATAAATTGCCCACAATGATGATACCCATGGCGGTCTCGAAGTACTGAGAGAACACGATCTTGGCGAGCTTTACCCGGAATGGGGACCATATCAAACGCCCTTCTTCATCCATCCAGGGCTTTCGGTTGTCGAAAGCCTGATAACGGAGACTCTTCCTCACACGAAAGGACCTGGAACTATAAGGTGATCGGATTTTTAGGACTGACTTCCCAGCTGTCAAACAGAACCAAAAACTTCAAAAGGATCGTTTCGAAGGCAACTGATATTCAAAAGCTTGCATGTGTTGTGCCACCTTGCCACAACAGACAGGAAGGAACACCCGAAAAGATTGAAAGGAGGACTAGCTTGCGAGCTTCAGGCCCTCCAAGGTGGTGGCCAAGTAGTCCAAGTTCTCTTGTGACATCTCCGGCTCGCCGTCCTCGCCTCTGAGCTTCCGAGGTAGCGACGCCACGTCGAAGGAGTTCCGTAAATCCATGGCTGAAACAACGCCGGGGACAGGTCAGTGTGGGCAATTCAGAGCCTAAACGTGCCGGACCGGTATGTTCATGAGACCTGCGTGAGCGTCAACGAGGTGCAGAATGGAATTGGAGAACCCTGACAAAAATAACGGTCTGACTGGACATGAAGGTGCAGTTTTTTCCCGGAAGCATTGCGAAGGGTTCTTCTTCTAAAAGCGGCTGCCAACTTCACCTGCCAACTTCTCATGCCAACTTGTCGAGAGTTACTTCACCTGCCAACTCTAACTTTCACTTCACCTGCCAACTTCTCATGCCAACTTGTCGAGAGTTACTTCACCTGCCAACTTCTCATGCCAACTTGTCGAGAGTTACTTCACCTGCCTACTTCTCATGTCAACTTTTTTGCCAACTTCTCATGCCAACTTGTCGAGAGTTACTTCACCTGCCAACTTCTCATGCCAACTTGTCGAGAGTTACTTCACCTGCCAACTTCTCATGCCAACTTGTCGAGAGTTACTTCACCTGCCTACTTCTCATGTCAACTTTTTGAGAGTTACTTCACCTGCCAACTTCTCATGTCAACTTTTCGGCTGTTATCTCATTCTACTAAAAGCACAAGCTAATTTGTCGGGTGTTACTTCACTATCCTAAAAACACAAGCTAACTTTTCTGTTCTACCTTCACTTCTCGACTCTTAATTCTTCTTCTTTTTATGGCGGGGGTAGGCCCGACGGGAGCTTACGAAACGCACCCCTCTGCGGAGATCGTGCGTGTCGAAGCGCTCTCGCTGTGGCGCCGTGCGAATTTGTCTTGAGCCCGATGAACCCTCTGCGGAGATCGTGCGTGTCGAAGCGCTCTCGCTGTGGCGCCGTGCGAATTTGTCTTGACCTTGGCGAACCCTCTGCGGAGATCGTGCGTGTCGAAGCGCTCTCGCTGTGGCGCCGTGCGAATTTGTCTTGAGCGCGGCGAACCCTCTGCGGAGATCGTGCGTGTCGAAGCGCTCTCGCTGTGGCGCCGTGCGAATTTGTCTTGACCTTGGCGAACCCTCTGCGGAGATCGTGCGTGTCGAAGCGCTCTCGCTGTGGCGCCGTGCGAATTTGTCTTGAGCCCGATGAACCCTCTGCGGGGATCGTGCGTGTCGGATCGCTCTCGCTGTGGCGCCGTGCGAATCTGTCTTGAGCCCGATGAACCCTCTGCGGAGATCGTGCGTGTCGAAGCGCTCTCGCTGTGGCGCCGTGCGATTTTCTTGCTCGCGAAACGGCTTTTGGAAGTTGTCTCGTGGTGTGCGCGCCTGCTTTCGCAATCCCGCGGTCCCGGGTTCGATTCCCCCCTGGTCCGCGGCAGCTCCGGCTTGAAAATCGCAGCTTTTAAGTACAAACGTAGTACGCGGAGCGTGCTCCTGCAGCTCCGGCTGGAAAATCGCAACTTTTAAGTACAGACGTAGTACGCGGAGGCTGCTGCAGCTCCGGCTGGAAAATCGCACTTTTTAAGTACAGACGTAGTACGCGGAGCGTGCTCCCGCAGCTCCGGCTGGAAAATCGCAACTTTTAGATACAAATGGCTGGAAAATCGCAACTGTAAATTGCAAATGTAGCACGCGGAGCGCCTCCGCCGCTCCAGCTTTTTGAGGGTTAATTACTTCACCTGCCAGTTTCTCATGCCGAAACTTCGAGAATTACTTCACCTGCCAGCTTCTCATGCCACCTTTTCGAGAGTTACTTCACCTGCCAACTTCTCGTGCCAACTTTTCGAGGAGTTACTTCACCTGCGAGCTTATCATGCCAACTTTTCGAGAGTTACTACACCTGCGAGCTTCTCATGCCAACTTTTCGAGAATTACTTTACCTGCCAACTTCTCATGCCAACTTTTCGAGAAATACTTTACCTGCCAACCTCTCGTGGCAACTTCACCTGCCAACTTTTCGAGAATTACTTCACCTGCCAACTTCTCATGCCAACTTTTCGAGAAATACTTTATCTGCCAACCTCTCGTGGCAACTTTTCGAAAAATTACTTCACCTGCCAGCTTCTCATGCCAACTTTTCGAGAGGTACTTCACCTGCCAACATCGCCTGCCAACTTTTCGAGAGTTACTTCGCCTGCCAACTTCTCGCGCCAACTTTTCGAGAATTACTTCGCCTGCCAACTTCTCATGCTAACTTTTCGAAAGTTACTTCACCTGCCGGCTTCTCACGCCAACTTTTCGAGAGTTACTTCACGCGCCATCTTCTCGTGCCAACTTTTCGAGAATTACTTCACCTGCCAGCTTCTCACGCCAACTTTTCGAGAGTTACTTCACCTGCCAACTTCTCATGCCAACTCTTTGAGAGTTATTTCACCTGCCAACTTCTCATGCCAACTTTTCTCTTGAGTTACTTCGCCTGCCAACTTCTCATGTCAACTTTGCGAGAATTACTTCACCCGCCAACTTTGCCAGCCAACTATTCGAGAGTTACTTAACCTGCCAGCTTCTCATGCCAACTTTTTGAGAATTGCTTCGCCTGCCAACTCCTCATGCTAACTTTGCGAGAGTTACCTCACCTGCATCAACTTGCCTCTATGCTTCCGGGCCACTCGTCGTCTAGTGTAAAATGCCAGACAGCATTAGCTTGAGAAGTTTGCCAGGCAAGATAGACATAGATGGACCCTATGTGCCCGCATTCAGCATTGTGTTTCCCACCCAATCATTAACGCTTGAATATGGCCATCAAATCCATCAGAAAGGGACACCTGACCACGCCGAAAATCCTCAATGTAGCAAATACGCTAACCACAGCCAACCACAAGACCGTTTTGTCCACTTTCCAACATCTCCTTACCAAGCGAAAACTTGATCAACAATGACCCAAAGGTGATGTTTGAAAAAAACCAAAGGACATTTGCTCGGACCCATACCCCTTCAGTCGCCTGTCAGACTTTCCAGACCGCAAAAAGGGGGCCTGGTTGTTTGATCGACCTTTTTTGGGGGCTCAGAAACCATAGGAAAGAAGACCAAAAACAAAGACGAGTTGCATCTGCCAAAGGACACTCACCTCACTTCCTGAGTGTATTGTCAAACATGTCCCAACTTGTTATTTGCCACTAAATTGTCTTCCCATAAACGAACAAAAAGGAAAAGGTCCTTGGCCACGTTTGTCCTTGGCGTGTCGACAAACCAAAGCCAAAACCGAAAAGGAGAGACGTTTGTTTGTTCCGGCCACGTGTCCTGCGAAGGTTCCAGGTCCACCACCCGGATCTCTGGCATGGCCGAGATCAGCCCCCCGGGCCTTCAGCTTCGGTTCCGTTTGTTGGATGCACATACTCTGTCTATATACGCATATAATATGTACATATTATATATATATATGTTTTATACACATATGTATCCGTGTAGATATACAATATAGATATATGCATGTTTATCCGTGTATGTATATACATATATATAATATCAATACACATATGCATGCATGTTTCTCTCTCTCTCTCTCTATTTGTAGATAGGTATTTCCGTAGGCAACCCCGCAAAAAATGGCGGGTGTCCTGCGGTTTTCCTTGAAACAACATAAGCGGGTCCTCGTATTGTTGGACACCCCTATATAATATGTACAGCAAACATGGGTACCCTGTTGGAAAAATAAAGAGGGGGAGAACATCAAACCAGGGCCGGTTTCATTGTTTGCCTACGCCAAGGTAGACTTAAGCAGGCGGAGGTTCAATTCCCACACCAGAACCTCTTTTTGAGGCTCGGTAAGCTTCTTGCTTGTGTTGCTTTAAAAGGAGACAAAAGGGAAACCACAATTGAAGGGTTCCCCTCGGACCCGTTTAAAGGGAGTGGGGTCTGTCTGAAAGGGAGTGGGGTCTGTCTGCAAAGAAGGACACCCGGGCAAGGGTTTTCTTGAAGCTGGAAAGAGTTTCAAAGTTTGTTGGGGAGCTCCTGTTTTTGATGCGGGCCAAACGACAATCACCTGGAACATTCCGCCCCATTTTGAGAAGCAGGTAAAGCCTCCGAGCAACAAATGGGGCCAGCCGGCACTCCCAAACTGTACTGAGCCTCCAAGCAACACTCCCATGCAGCCATACCTCTCTGGCTCCTGCACGAGTTGATGCTTCAAACAGCACAGCATGTCTAGCCGGGCTGCGTCTGGATCATAGGGAACCACATTTGGCATACAACACGCAGTAATGCGTGGATCCCTTCCAAAAGTCTAAGCTTATAAGTGGTTTGGAAGCGCCACGAAAAGACAACTTGCGTCTGAATCATACTCGCGTCTATTTATGGCTGGGACATATGAACTTCCACTTGCCCAGGTTTTGATTGTGGCTCTGATCACATGCACATTGCTCATCCTTCAAGAGGACGTCGCCGAATGCCCTAGACACTGCCAAACCTGCCACGCAAAGGCATCAGGCCCCCGCTGGACTGGGACAAACGAGTGGACCCCTTGCAAACAGAGACAACCTTTGCCGGTCAAAAGAGGAGCAGGAGCTAAGGGACACCAAAAGGAGCCAAAGGGCAAACATCTGACACAACTCTAGCAATTTTGACTGGAATCTGGCTTTGGTTGGCAACCACTGCTGCATGGGTAAATTACCAAGCCGCGTGCCTTCCAAAGCATTTGATCGTGGAACCAATGTAATCCCACCCAACAGACTCAAAAGAACCAGGAAGCGCAACACACCTCCAACAAGCATCAATCTTAATCACAGCCTTCAGCGCCAATCAGCTCCAGTAAGGCACGGCACCGACACAAGGCGCCAAGCAAGCACAACGCTTGGTCCACCCCCTACACCTGACCTATTGTGTAAGCATCCTCCTTTCCCCTTGCAAGGGGAACCAGAATCTCTTTGTTTGAACGAAACACGACAAAAGTGCCCTAAACAAAAGCCCAGGTTTTGCCACGGCAAACTTCAAGACCAATGCTGCCAGGCTAGAAACATGGGTCGTGTAAAGGGAAACCGAAGGAACCCAATCAGACCATACTATACAGCCCTGGGCTTTAGGCTGCTTTAGGCCCACGTAGGCAAATCTGGGCAAGTCCTGAGGCACGGACCCCAGCGGGCAATGTGCTTGCCACCAAAGTTGGCCGGGCCAGGTGTGAAAACCTGAAGACTCTTCAAGCAGCAGGGCGGGGCCCCCCGGACCCCTTGTCTTCGGGTCTCACTTGGAAGTGACCCGGCCGCGATCCCATGGCAAAGCTCCAAAGGTCCCAAGCTCCTAGCGCGCCACACCCCCTGGAGGTCCACGATGCCACCCTTGGCCTAGCGCGAGGGGATGTGCATCCTCAAATCAACAAACAAAACACACAAGCACAAGCAGAAGCCCTTCAAATGACTGAGTTTTGTCAGCGTTGACCTTCTCGCTTTCACTTGCTCCTAGGTTCTACCATTACAGGCCAAAACCACCAAGCAAAGACGGAGTCCTGTTAAAATAGCCAATCACAAACATTCACAGGTCAGGGCACCCTTTTGACGCTTTTGGGACAAGATTGGCATACTTCGAAGACGATTCTAACATACAATTTCTATTGGGTCATACATTTCGTACAATCAGGCAATCTTAAAAAGACACGCTGTCATAAGCGATGCAGCCCATGCCTCGATCCTCTTCTGCTCTGTAGGTACCTCATGCAACACCAAGTGAAGGGTCAGGTTGCCATGTCATTTTGCAAAACTCGGTTCTGCTTCGTCCGCCCCGACGCTCTGCTGATCACTGAAACAATTTTGGATGCCATGGCCAAACTAATGACAGGAATTGGGGTACAAACCACAAGCGCCTGGAACCCCAAAGACAAGACCCAGGCGATTGATGTTTCATTTCAAGCGGACGTCAACTTCGGGTACGACCCCCAAAAGCGCCACTTTCTTGCCAAACAGCTTGGGCTCCGGCGATGGGCTTATGATCTTCCGACAGACGATATGACTGCACTTGCGCAGCCTCCCCTGCGACCCGGCTGGAACGAGGAAAACCATGCGCTGCATGTTGTGTTTCTTTCTCTTACTGGGTCCAGCTCAGTCTGAGAGTTCACTGCTGACTATGAAGAGCCCAACATTCGAATAGCTTCTGGATGCTACGCACATGATTGTTCCTGTGCAATCTGGAACCTGTTAATTGGAACCCGTTTACGTTCCCGGAGCAACACTAATTTCGAGCAGCATCAAAAACTATCAAACAGCAACATTGCAAGAGCAATGTTGAATTTAAATGGAAGGCAACCGGAAACCACCCAGTGCGGACTCCTCCCTTTGGAGAATGCAAAGTGCCTTGATCCGTGGCACGGCAAAGGACTGCGCGAGAGTCGCCCACATTCGCGATGAGGAGTCGACTGAGGGCCGCTGCCAACGGATGAGATACACCCACACAAGCTTTTGGCAAGATCACAGACCCCTCCAGAGGTTAGTAACTTTAGCCTGTTTGGATGGCACTCGTACAACACGTGGCATGATCGTCCATGTGGCCCCACATTGTACGAAAAAACCTTGGCTGCTGCTTGGCAAGCCTCTCATTGCTTGTCCCTCGTGTTGCAAAGCCGACACTATCCCCGCAACTCGTTTGCGAGACACTGGGGGTTGCCTTCCGCCAAGTGTCTGATCGGCCGCAAACAAACCGTCCATCGCAGATAAACGTTGAACCCCTGAAAATCCTCACGCATTTTCAGGTTCCAGGTTTATGTGCAAGGATTAAAAAGCATAGCCCTCTCGGGTGTCCCTTTTGGCTATCCAGTTCTTTGCTCTGCCAGCTTCTTGCATATCCAGGGCGCAGGCCAGGAGCCCGGCGCTCGCACGCCATTGCTGCCGGGGCGCGCGTCCTGGCTTTCCGATCGGAAGCTTCGGGCGCAAAAGGATCCGAAATGAAACGTGACCCTTTGCAACTGTTCGAAAAGCCAAAGGGTTGGGCCTAAGTCCTTGGAGCTCCAAGGCTGTACCTGAGATACCTGGTTCGGTGGAAAAAGCTTCCGTTCAGCCGAGAACCAGGGGGTCAAGTCCTCAAAACAACCAATCCAAATCACCAAGTAGGTAAGGAGTACTCTCCCACAAACTAGTGTGAAAGTCCATACTTGTTGTTGGTCGAGGAGGTACTTCGACCCCTTTGAACGTCCAAACAAGATCTTCAAAGTGTGGATAGTTTTTCTGGGGTCGGCTGAATCAGTACAGTAGCTGCAAGACTGAGGTGTAGCTCTGCCAGGCTCGGCGCCAGTGGTTCCAACATTTAGCTGCGTGATGTTTGTGTTTTGCGGACAACTAGTGACTCGTGAAAGCTTCATACCTGATCAGTAGCCTTCCAGGAAAGGAGCAGGCGCCTTGCTTGGCTAGCCCGTTTTGATGTTGGTGTTCCTTGCAGGTATACTATCAACTCGCCTCTCATCAAGCAAGCGCGACAGTGGCAGTGGAGATGGCGGCGTAGACAGCAAAAGCAACTCGATACGTAGAACAGGCACGATGCCAAAGCATCGTTGACATTCGTTGATGACAAGCGGGGTCCCTGCCGGCCATCCGGGCAGGAGAGGGGGTTGTAACCACGACAAAAACGCGATTTTGTTACCATGACAAGGTGCAATGTTACCACGGCAGAAAAAAAGCGTTACAGCGACACGTTTCTTGCGGGCTTATCCCGACAAGCAGGGAAATAGAAAGGAATAAGAAGGCATGAGAAGGTCAATAAGAAGGAATAAGAAGGAATAAGAAGGTCAATAGAAAGGAATAAGAAGGAATAAGAATGTGAATAGAAAGGAATAAGAAGGAATAAGAAGGTCAATAGAAAGGAATAAGAAGGAATAAGAAGGTCAATGGAAAGGAATAAGAAGGAATAAGAAGGTCAATAGAAAGGAATAAGAAGGAATAAGAAGATGATTAGAAAGGAATAAGAAGGAATAAGAAGAAGGACAAGAAAGGAATGAAAGGATAAGAAAGTCGATAGAGATAAGAAGATAAGAAGATCAATAGAATAAGAAGGAATAAGAAGGTCAATAGAAAGGAATAAGAATGAATAAGAAGGTCAATAGAAAGGAATAAGAAGGAATAAGAAGGTAAATAGGAAGGAATAAGAAGGAATAAAAATGTCAATAGAAAGGAATAAGAAGGAATAAGAAGGTGATTAGAAAGGAATAAGAAGGAATAAGAAGGTCAATAGAAAGGAATAAGAAGGAATAAGAAGGTCAATGGAAAGGAATAAGAAGGAATAAGAAGGTCAATAGAAAGGAATAAGAAGGAATAAGAAGGTCAATAGAAAGGAATAAGAAGGTCAGTAGAAAGGAATAAGAAGGAATAAGAAGGTGAATAGAAAGGAATAAGAAGGACTAAGAAGGTCAGTAGAAAGGAATAAGAAGGAATAAGAAGGTCAATAGAAAGGAATAAGAAGGAATAAGAAGGTCAATAGGAAGGAATAAGAAGGAATAAGAAGGTCAATAGGAAGGAATAAGAAGGAATAAGAAGGTCAATAGAAATGAATAAGAAGGAATAAGAAGGTCAATAGAAAGGAATAAGAAGGAATAAGAAGGTCTAAGAAGGTCAATAGCAAGGAATAAGAATGTCAATAGAAATGAATAACAAGGAATAAGAATGTGAATAAAAATAAGAAAAATAAGAAGGTCAATAAAAAGGAATAAGAAGGAATAAGAAGGTCAATAGAAAGGAATAAGAAGGAATAAGAATGTAAATAGGAAGGAATAAGAAAGAATAAGAATGTCAATAGAAAGGAATAAGAATGAGTAAGAATGTGAATAGAAAAGAATAAGAAGGAACAAGAAGG